GGCTTCGCGTCTTCTCAAAAAGGTTTGAAATTTTTCCGACAATCTAATATATGATATAAAATAATTGTTATTTGATATTAAATGCTCTCTCGCGATGTTTTAATAAGAATTTCTGAAAGCAGTCTTTGGAACTGCGTCATTTTTACGTCGGCGTTTCGTGAACATTTTATCAGAATTTAAGAGCTAGTGACAGAAATGATATTAACGCGGTTTCAAAAATTCGAAAACAATTTTCAGAAAAACATCGTATTATATTTATTTATTCAGTTTCTACTAAAAATTTTAATTTTTCAAAAAATAATATTGTAATTTGTGGTACTTCATCAAGAAAAGTGTGAGACATAATGCACGAAAAATTGAAAATGCACAAAGAGGAAGTTGACGTGGTCTTTCGCGACACAAGGTGAAAATTGACTCTGCGAGAGACTTTCCAACGACTTCGCAGCTTAGAGACGTCACACTTTTAAGCGGGCAAGTTGCCGTGAAACGGCTCGCTGTTAACGTCAGGTCGTAACCCTCTTCCCGGGTGAAACCTCCTTTAACGGGGTGGTCCATAACCCCTGATTTGATGCGAAAAGATCCGAACGGATCCCGGCCAATTACAATACGTTCTGCAGGCGCGTTATGGCGAGCGCGCAGCGCACGCAGGGGATGAGTTTCGTGTACGACAAATTGTCCGGGCTAATGACTCGATCGTTCATTTAATTGTTACGGGCCGGGAACATTTGCGGCGATTGTATGCGAAATTGTTTCGTCGTGCGCTCGCCAATCGACAGAAGAGACCCTCGCTTCGTGGAAACACGACGGGAACATAATATCGGGGACTTGCGACAAACGACCGGCGTGATAGTCCGCGGTTTGTATTTACATCGGCGTTTGTGACTTCCGTTCGTACAACAATCCGAAACCTGTTGTATTGTAGTCAGAGACGTATAACTCGGAATAGCAGTCACAGACAGGGAATTGAATTATATATAAACCCGAAATACTCTGATATCCGAAGAACTCAATTGTAATATCGACCGTGTTAATAGAAATTAATTATTTCGTTTCTAAAAATTGTGTTTACTTTTTCATACACGTGTGTTCTATATACGTGAAACGATTGATAAATATCCGAGATATGACTCATAGAGAGTGAACTTTATTATAATACAAGTTTACTCGAGCACGCTTGACAAAGTTAAAATATTAAATAACCAGATATTGAATAAAAAATTATCATTTTTGTTTTTCTTATCAAAAAATAAAGATTTAAATAAGAGAGAGATAGAGAGAGAGAGAGAGAGAGAGAGAGAGAGAGAGAGAAAAGACGCGTTATCGATGCCATCACTTCCAAGCCAGTATTGATCCTCTCGCCGGAAACGCTATGTACGAACAACTATACGATGTCGACCCCGGACGCAGTGTAACAACGCTGCGGCATGGTATACATTTTGCAAGAGAGTGCAGTGGCGTTTAAACGTCGCACTAAAGGCGAAACTACTCCCCGGCGCGGAGAAGCGACCGATGCGGTTTTCGCTCACCGCCCGTTTCCATTCGACGGAAATTTATCGTCGCGATTCCGACGGCTCTCGCAACCGTGAAAAGGGCGTGAGTGCGATCGTTGTCGGAACGTTTGCGCCGAAGGGAGAGAGAGAGAGAGAGAGAGAAAAGAGAGAGGAGAAAGAGACGCCGCTGGGGAACGCAACAAGTACGCGAGATGCCGTTTTGCCTCCTCCGCTTCTTCTTCTCGTTATCCTTTTGTGTCGTTGGAACTTGGCCAATGATGGGCCCCCTCGACGGCCACTCTCCCCCGTTCCGCTCTCTTTCTGCCTTCCACACTTCCTATGATGCGTTTCTGCCTTTGAGGCTTCTTTTTGATAGCGCTCGATAATCAAGCTCGGCGCTCGCGATCGCGCGCGATAATTAATCGCATCTTTGCGAGGTGCGCGATTCTTTGAATAATATCTAAGATAAGAGATACAATAAACAGAGTGATTTTTATTTGAGAGATATACGGGGCGCAATGTTATTTGACAAATTCCTAACTTTTTTCAAGATTTTTTCAAGATTTATCACATTATATTTTGTCTCGACTTTTTAATTAATATATAAAATATATAAAATAAAACATATGTCAAAAAAAAAAAAAAAAAAAAACTAAAGAACTACAAAAAAATGTTGTCCCAGAAAATCGAAATTAATTCTATACTATAATGTCACGTAAAAAATAACTACAGACCAAAATGATCAAGAGTATGTATAGTTTTCGCGACCTGTGGAGTGTGGGGACTGCGCGAATCCTAAGAGGGGTTCCGCTTAACACCCAAGAATGTTTCCCAAGCCGGTCGCTTTCAATTGGTTTATCGATTAAAAGACGAACTGTATCGGGCTTCGAAAATCTATAAATTTGAGCGAGATATCTCGAATTTTCTCTCTCAAACTGTCTAAGCTAACAAGTGCAGTTAAAACTTGTTAAACATTGGTTAAACATTCTGCCAAATTTACCTTGAAACTTCTTCTAACACGATCTCTTCTACAAAAAAGAAGTTATTACAAAAAAGATATTAAAGATCAATTGTTTAAATTGAAGATAGAAGTATATTCAAATCATGCATTATATATTGTTTACAGAGCCACGCGTGTGTCTACCAAAATATCTTTTTAAGTAGTTTTTTTAGTTTTTTGTTTTAAAAAATGTTAAAAACTAGAAAAAAAAGTCAACAAGTATCAATCATTGGAGGAATGCTAACTATAAGTTTGATCGTCGTAGATAGTTTTTTAGTGTTTTTTATGTGTTAATTTGGTTAAAAAAAAACACTCCTTGAGAAATTTGTTTGTTTTTTTTCTGGATCGCTTCCTCTCTCTTGGCATTTCTCTCGCGAGATCGCAATTAGCAATTCTCGCGTTTGACAGCGCGTCATTAAGTAGCTTACAGGAAGCCGCTTACGTACATACGGATTTGGAAAAGCATTTGCGCCGCAGAAACGTTGCAAATTTTAGACGGCTCCGTTTGTGCATCCGGTACTTGCGGCGCGCCGCAATCATTATCCCGTATGAATTCGCGCAACATTCCGTTTTATCCGCAAATCTGTAAATCGCACTGATGTTTTCTGCTTTATACACAACTTACATTTATGATGTATACCCAAATTGGCTCTTGCTTATATCTCACTTTTTCATTATTTATGCAATACACATTCAATGTTACCTTTGCAGAATTTAATTTGTCCGTGTGAATTGCGGGTAGTTATAATACGTTCATTCTGAAATGATAATGTTTTTCTGTTTTTTTGCAATTCCGATTGCCGGTTTTTGCAAGAAAAATACATGCAGGAGAATATATTTTGAACGTAACATAATTGTTTTTAATTGCTATTCGAAAAATTCGTAGAGCGTGTTGTAAAATTCTTTAAAATAATTTCAAGCAGTTTTTAAACATTTTCTTTATATCAAATAATGACTATATATACATATAGGTATCAGATATTGCAACTGCATAAATTTAACTTGTGCAGAGGATTTTGAATATATGATTCTTGGATCAATTTGCTACGTTCGAAGTTACATCAAGTTTACGTCTAACAAGTTCGAGCCCAAGTCGAGTTGTTAACAACTCACGTCTGAGCACTGTTGACTCCTTCTCCGTTTCAGAACGGAAGGTTAAGAGTTACGTTTTAACTCGAGAGTTCAGTTGCCATGACGCTTCTGGCGATGCGCAACATTCAACATTCGTACTTAATCGTGAGAACCGTATTACATCGATCTGTATCACAACGCGCGCGGGAGATCCCGCATGTCAGTTCGGAACACAGGGGAATCGTCGTCTATTATTCCACGCGAAGGACTCCGCGAGCGCTTGTGCGAATTAACGTTTCTGCAAATTATAGTGACAGCCCCGGAGATATCATTGATCGTCATTAATAGGAATACATGCTCCCCGTTCTGATTTTGCCGGCGGATACAAATCATTCGGTAACGCTCGAGAGAGAAGTCACTGATACAACCGATCTCTCCCTCGACGTCGTAAATGCATTTATACAGAGTACGTAATTTTTTTTAATGAGGAGTCTCGCGGAAACTGTGACCGATACTCTCGAGAATACGAACAACTTTCTGTTACAGAGTATTACGAAAGTCGTTGTAGTAGTAAGTTGGAACATATTAAAAACGAGAGAATATTGGTTCAGGTCATAAAATACTGATTTACGTCCCGCTTATAACTTCTCCAGATTCTCGAGTATCAATTAAAATGTTATAAAAGAAAAATTGACGCAAATGACGCGCTCACAATTTCTCAATTCTCCCTCAGTCTTTACTTCTTTTATTCTTCGCTTTTCCCGTTGTTTCTTCGGAGAGAAACAGTATTACGCTTATTCCTTCAGGGTTACTTTTCATGCGACTGCGAAAGAAATACCGGTCTACGTGTCTCCGGACTCTCTCTCTCTCTCTTTGTCTGTCTGTTTCGCAATTTCAGTGATTCGTGCCGCGACTGCGAAGTCGCGCGTACAAACTTCTGAATAGCGCGCGACATCAGTCGATATCACGTGTAAAGAGCTTTCGACGCACAATGGTGAGCGCGTAATGTGAGATTGCCGTCGCGAGCAAACTTATTAATATTTGCGCGTTTCGCGCCAGACGTTTCGGCCGAAACTTTTATCTCGCCGATTCGCTCGTTTCGCGCGCATTAACTTTGTAAGAACGACAGACGCGTAAATGATAGGTTGGGGAAACTTTCACGCAGCCTTGGCCGAAAAATGTGCAAGAAATTTTGTTTTTCTCAAGCATTTTAAAGATGACTACATCTTTTACACATCTGAAAACTCGAGTTAATGTATACACGTAATTTGATATATACTTGCAAACTAATAGACTACTGCACAAAATTTATCTTCAATTGAAATTTTAAAGCCGCTCTCGCGGCTTTTAAATTATCCCGCGACGTTTGCTTAAATTAAATCATTTCCATTTCACATTGTGCTTCATTCGCATACATATTTCTTGCGTTCTATTTGCAGGCAAAATTTCGCGTGATGGTGGAGGAGAACGCAGCGACCGGCGCACGGCTCGACGGCGAGCTGGAACGCGCTAGGGGCGAGTGCGCCACACTTCGGGGCGAGTTGCGTGATGTACGCGGCGCCTTGCCGATCGTACTAAATAACAACAATTCCGGGGCGGCGGCCGGCAACGGTAGCGCTAACAGCAACAACAATTCCGGCACATCAACCGCCGCTTCTGGCGGCAACATCATTCCCGGTCAGGAAGTGGAAGTTCAGCAACAGGCGGAAGATGGCAAGCGGCTCAGCGCCGGGAGCAGCCCGATCGAGAAGCGAAGCTCGGCCAGCGATAAATCCGCTAGTCCCATTGACAAGAGAACCAGCCCGGTGGACAAGAAGGACAGGACCAGTCCTATCGATCGGCGAGCCAGTCCTATAGGTTCGTATATAATCTGTGACCGAACTTTGACTCTTTTACGTTTGATTAATTCTCTTGATTTTCAATTTTTTCTATAATTTATTTTGTTTTATTTTTTTCCATTTTTTTTTTTTTAGTATATAGTTTAATTCCTTTAGTATATTTCGAATAAACGTGTTCAAAGCTGTACCTACTGTAAGAGCAAATAACCGTTCACGGAACACGATAAGTAGTTTTTTTAAAAGATATCGTTTGATTTACATGAAAAGACTTACGCGCGAATCTCGCTCGTCGAAAAGAACGAGATCTCGAGAGAGAGAGAGAGAGAGAGAGAGTTTTCCCGCTTGAATTTATTTTGCGAAAGTATTTTCATAAAAAGACAGCACCGCCGCGCGTAGCAGGAAACGACGGAATTACGCTTAACGCGAACTGAAAGTTATCGACTTCGCGCGGGAGCTTCGGCTTGGGATAAGACTTTTTAAGAAGTTCGCGCGGAAATGAAATTTTAAGACGACGCGAATGTTTCTCTGTGCATTTCCGCGTTTGTTTTGACTGTTTGCCGAGTTATTCCGAATATCCCACAGTTGTTGTTTCCATGTCGATTCCGCGGTTTTCCTCGCTGATCTCTTAAGCTTGTGGATCAACATTTCGAACAACTACTTATATTGCTCAGCTTATATATATATAGCTGAGTTTCTTTTATACAAAGATTGAAAATCATTCTGCGAACTCTCTACAATAATGATTTGTCGATCTGTTTGTTGCTATATTTTACGAGATTTTGCACACACACCGCCGTACGTTTTCGCACTTTGTCGCAGCTTTGTCTTATGCAAAACGGCGCGTCATTCGTCACGGAATAAAATCTTGAAAGTTTTAAGCACTCGGTTGTTAAATACATACATTCTGTGCGTGTATGGACGCGCACGGGAGAAACGTATTAACACGTTCGCGAAAGACCTACTTATACGGAAGATCAAAGACACGGCTAGTACATTATGCAATTCTGTGTCCGTACTCTCTTACTCATCAAGGAGAGTTGCCAACAGATCCACTTAAGGGAGAGAGCGGAGACCCGCGTGCGCATGCAAATTCGAGACGAGAGTGCATTTCCGAGGACCGGTCGGTACATTGGGTCAATCGATCACGCGCGCTTCAGCGTTCGTAGCGGAGAGATCCGCCTTATCGAGCGCATCCGTCTCGAACGCACATTCCAAGTAAAGGCTGGCTTCATTCCAGCGATTTCTCCGTACGCGTCAATATATAAGTCGTTTTTCTCCGTCTGTCGCGTCACCACTCCCTTCCGATTCGCCATAATCGAGTCTACCTCCTCGTCGTCGTCGTCGTCGTCGTTGTCGTCGTCGTCCGCCTCCTCTCGAATCCCGAGTTTCTCGCGAATCTTTTTTCCCGCCGATCGTTTCTCGCAACGTTTAAAGAGAGACGGACGCTAAATACGCGATCCGAACACGCACCATGCCGAACCACAGTTGAATGATTAATTAACGCTCGATTTAAATTACACGCTGATTGCAAACGTACTGTACATACGCTCCTCGCGCCGCTATAAATCCATCGTGTTAGTTAATTGAATAAAACACACTGAACTTATTACTACATTGATTCGAATGTAATTACAAATTCGATTCGTGTTATATTGGGAAATGGATATTATCCGTGTTATATGTAGCCGGACGAAAGTGGCGTTTTGCCTACCGATTGCTTTCAAAGAGAAGAAATTTGCGCGCAGAGAAAAATTCGCACATCATTCTCGGTCGTAAAAAAATATGCGCAAAATATACGTATCAGTGAAATATACGCACACATTTTTGTTAAGTAATTTATATTTTTTCTTTTTTAAAGCACTTTATCTAATTAGAAAAAAGATCGAGAAGACATTTTTATTTGTTTGATTTTTTCTCTCCGCCAGAACGAAGAAATGGCTCGCCCTGTCGAAGTCCGAGCGAGAAGGCTCGTCGTCCCTGCGCCCCCGCCCTTGAGAAGACGCGGCTGGGAGGTGGATCCGGGGGCAGCGTGGACTCGCGATCGGGCAGCGCCAGTCCGGATCGGGGACCGGCCAACCGGGGCGGCTATCTTCATCGCGGCAGCAACGAGCGCTCTAGCGCGGAACGACTGCGGATATCGATTGCTAACCGCGACTCCCTGCGATCCAGCAAGGAGATGAACGATCACGAGCAAAAGGACGCCGATAAGGATCTAGTAGACGGGGACGCGCGAGGCGACGAGGACAATGAACCGCCCGGACCGGCACCGGGCAGCAGACCGTCATCCCCGGCTAATTCCCTCGGTGGGTAGTCCGGACTTTAATTATGAACGACCGATTCTTTCTGACCCCCTTTGAGAGCGCGGATTGTCCTCGATAGCGGTGAGCCGCGCCGTTCATTGTGCTACCTGCTGAGAGAAATCTCAGAGCGCTCATATCGCTCAGACACATGACCCGTAAGAGATAACCAGATACAGAGAAATCCCGTTCCGAGCTTTTCTAAAATAAAATTAACAACGGCGTTCTCAAGAATTGCGGAAATGATCATTCACGTCAAGAGACAAAAAAACAATTTGACGTGTGTGATCAGGAAGATAAAGTTGTTATTTTTTTCCCCGTATTTTTTTTCTTAATCTGCATGTTTTATCGATAAAATTGATTTAAAAGAAGCCAAAGTGTCTTTTTTAATTTTTTCGAATTTCACGTAAAAGAAATAATTTATGCAATACGAGATGCATTTAAGTCAATTATTATGTGTGTTAATTTACACATTAAAAAAAATACATATATAATATATATAATATAATATATATATATATATATATATATACATATATAATATATATATACATATATAATATATCTACGCTGCGAAATTATGCAACAAACACAAAGAGAACACGAGGCGGTCGCGGATTATCTTACGATCGTGCTCGTGTTCGATCGATTATCACCACACTGTGGTCGGAACATGAAAAGCTAGACTATGTGCTTATCGCAATATGCTGTCTAGATTGCAGATCGCGGAGAGACGACGTTCGTGATTTGGATATAGATTTGGACTAGAGATATATATTAATCATACGCGGGCTCGCACGTATGAGGCCATCAACAGATCATTCATTTTTCATCTACTTCTGAAAAATTCTTATTCCTAGATTTAGCTTATAAAGCTCCAAAGAGAGCGAGTAAATATATTTTTACACACACATCCAGCAACTAGTTCTTTGCTAGTTGAATAATTAAAGAGAGAGAGCTCTCTGTATATATTTGTTACGAATAAATAAATTTAGTTGTTTTTTCTTGGACATTGGCAGGAATCGGCGACCCGGTAGTGGCATCTAGACTGTCCAACATTCACGGGGGTGGACACGCGGAATTGGCCAGCGCCAGACGATTGCGGTTGGAGAACGAAAGATTGGTGGCCGAAGTCGCCAGGTTGAGGAGATTGTTGCTGAGCGGCGCGGCGCGCGGCGAAGTCGGCTCCGAGGACGCCGCTATGGAGGAAGAGGCCCGCTTCGTCGCCCTGGAGATGGAACTGCAGCATGCGAAGGAGGCGCTGCAGGCGTTGAAGGCTGATCGTAAGCGGCTCAAGGCGGAGAAGTTCGATCTTCTCAATCAGATGAAAGCGCTCTACGGCACTCTCGAGGACAAAGAGCGCGAACTTCGCGATTTTATACGAAATTACGAACAGGTGAGTCAGCGGATAGCAACTTTCGCAATATTCCTCGCATGTTCTCAAATGCTCTTTTTTTTTTTTTTTTTTTTTTAATAACAAAGTCGTTATCTGTAAACTTGAAGAAGAAGAGCTTGTGAACAATGATGAAAAGTACGGCAAACAAGTGTCCTCTTTCAGCAAGCGCGGAAAGAAAGAAGGAGGGGGGATTGATTAAACAATCGTTCTCCGAATAAATTCTGTCGATATGGGGATAAATTGTAAATGATTTTAATACCTTCTGGAATTTTTCATTAAAAAGTATTAGTATGAAAAATTCTGCTGATAAAGGAATTTTACGTTTATATTCTCGAGAGCAAAAAACGTTCTTTCTTGCGGGACGGTTACGACTTTAGATTTTTATGCGATAAGATCTCGAACGGATCGTTGTGTTAGAACCGACGAGAAATATTGAAACGATTTTATTTCAAACGTTGACAAGAATATTTTATAATAATGCTTTTTATTGTTGTGGCTACGTCTGTGACAACAAGATATATTTTCACGGGATTCACAACGGGAGGAGAATCGAAAGATGTTCGCTTCACGTCTAGCCGATGAAACACACATCGCGTGTTAAAACTCACCTCCTGGGGTGGAAATCACGTTCGCGCGAATCTTAATCGCGATGTTTTACGATTCCGCAAATGGGAGCGGTAAACAATTGGGAAAGTAAGTAACTCTAATGCTGCTCTCGCAAATTTGCATATCTCATACAGTAGGATCGATTTTCGATAGGTGCCGCGCGCGCGACGAATGAATTAGGAAGGGAGGCGAAAACGGAGAGTGCTTCGCCGCGCTCGATATTTATGAACGTTCAACTTTCGAAATCGCCTCGGCGCACCCATAATTTTCTCTCCCAAGCTTTTTTTCTTTTTTTTTTTTTTTTTTTTTTTTATCTACAACGTAAAAATATCCGCGAGAAAAACGAATCGTATATTTGCTAATAGCAAATCCATTATGAGACGGTTTATCAAAGCGCGGGAGAGATGAAGAACGCAAAATGGGGATATCAACTGAAACTTTTTTCGCGTGATATAACGTTAGAACGATTTCATTAAAATCATATAGAACGGTCTACTTTCGTGAGTTTTTTTTTTCCCGACGAGTGCTTGAAATAGCATTAGGGGAAAAGCCACTTATTTTTTTCTTTTTCCTGAGCGAACGTATTAATTGCCGCCAGTATGAAAAAAAAAAAATGACTGAGAAGTCGCGCGAACGCGCGCGTGTGTTAGGATTTATAAATATATCCATCTTTCGAAATCTCTCTTTCTCCCATTCTGCTGTGCACGTTTGCATTTTCTCAATTTCGTTCCGATATCGTCGTCAGCAGTTTTTTTTTTTTTTTTTCATCTCTCTCGGACTCTTGAATTTCTCACAACAGAAAAAATAGCGAACAAAATTTGACAGCATTTTACTTCGTCGCGATGAAAATTCTGCTGAGATTTTAAAAAAATCTCCGCAAAAATGATGAAGTGGAGCTTGACCTCTCTCTCGAGCGATTCGTTGTCGTAACCGCGCGATTGTTCGATAAAATTGCGACACAAACTCGCGACGCGCGCGATATATGACGATGAATGATTTAACGATTAAACCGTAACCAAATTTCCCCGTCCGCCCGTTAAAGCGACCGACTAATAGAAATTGAGAACAATGCGAAACGACCGCGAAACCGCTTCGCGGTTTTAATTTCGCCTTTAATGCGTCTTTATGAAGCCAACGCGAAAATATTGAGAGAATAAAAAAAAAAAAAAAAAAAAGCGAGTCCCGAGACCGCCATTGTGCGAACGTAGTTAAAACTTTTTTATACGCAATTGGTACCACCGTTCTTTTTTTTTCCTCGAGCAATTAATTAGTAATTAGATCGTTCTTGAAACTTTATTAATTTACGAGCACGCGCGCGCGCGAAGGGTGTTGTTTTAAGAGAGGTGTTCGCATATTAAACCGCTTGCTGAAGAGCATTACAGAATTAAAAAGTTATATTCACGATCCCGAAGATGCTTCCGACGGTCGCTCACTGACCGCGTTTCAATTTTCTCGAGGGGAGAGGGCGCGCGCGCAAAATCGAGACCGCAGGTGCAGAAAAGCGACACGTACTCAGCAATATAATATTTTGTCTGTTAAATACTTTCATTAAACTTGCCGTCGGAATTTCTCATTTTACCGAGACCGTTATGACCGAGCTGCGTCGGACCGCGGTCATTTCAATTCCGTTAAATGAACAGCGGCGTTTCTCTCTTTCTCTTTTTTTCTCTGCGAGTGATGAACGTAGCGCGCTGCAGTTCCACGCTTGGTCTTTACACGCCCCAGGTGTGTCAGACACGTAATTCTTCAATATCTCGTCGCTCTTGAAAGTGCGCGCAAACGATATTGAAAATTTGCAAAGGTATTTTATCTCGAACATAGACACGTGCGTAATTTCGTAAATTTGAAATACGAACGAGCAATATATGCGTATCGTGTTCACGTTGGATTCGATCTTTCGAGCAAATTCTCCGGGATAAGACACAATGGTGGGAAATCGTGGGTAAAGCTTGTTACCGTTGGAGGACACTTCAAGCACCGACTTCGAGAGCGCATCGCGCATCAAGATTGCCCCTCCGGTGTAACGGGGCCGTTCGGTCTTAAGCCAATGTGTAACGACGCGCCGTGGCAAAGAGGGCGAGAATGTAGCGAGCCTTTGTCGCTACTGATTGTTATCAACCCTCGGGGACAAAGACAGAACTGTGAGCCTCGGTTCTCTTGAAAAGCCTACGTAAAACGGAGCGCATACAAGCGTACGAGATTACTCGAGCACGTGAAGCGCAAATTGCTTCTTTAATTACTTGCGAAACAATAATTAGAATACAAAAAACTGAGGAACAGAATAAAAAAATAACTTACTTTGTGTGATGATAAAATAATTAAGTTGAAAATATTAATTATTAATTATTACTGAGAATATCGAAATCTAGATTTCAATTTTTCTGAAAGATAAAATTGATAAAGTGAAATATTTTTGTGTCAATAATAATTGAACAACAATTACGTTTAATGACGGAAAATAGCTGGAAAAATTGAAAACGACTCTGCAGGAAACAAGCAATTATATTCGAATTAAAATGGCGCGTTTTGATATCGCGATGACGAGGTTTTTTTTGCGCACGAAGAGCGCTAAGAATTAATTAATACTATTGTCGCGGACGCGCGGATGTGGCTGTGCGCGCGAAGATCAAAAGCGGATCATCGTGGTTTTTTTTTTTAGCCGAAATATATAGTTGGTATTTTAATAAAAGTGTTATTACGCGCAGAGCGCGTGGTGCGGTATATCGCGGACGAAAGAATCCACAATTAATTAATAAGATTCCGTTCTTTTGTGACGCGCGCTTAGTGCTCTTTTGTGCGAATATCAAGGAAACAGAATTTTTACAACGCGCCGAAATGGAAACCTAACAACGTTGCGCGCTCCGCAGGAAAAAGCGTCGGTGTGGTACAAAGAAAGTATAGAGCGCGGAAGAAAAATTAATTTAATTGTCGTGAGCGCGGAAATGTGTACATAAACGTGCAACGAACTTTTTGGATATATATAATATATATATATATATTTTTTTTTTAACGAAAGGTACAAAAAGAGAAATTTCTTCATGTTTCTTCATGTTACGTTCTTACATTGGGTTTCCGCTTTCATATTTTATACAGTTTTGTTTTGCAAAAATGAGAAAAATGTACACGCACGTCGTATAAAGCGCTACCGTGTTTGTTTCCGACGAAATTAAAAATGTTGCGCGAGCTTGATCTTGCGAAAAGTGAAATTTCGCAAGCTGCTCGTCTGTGAAGAGACTTCGTTACTCAGAGGAAGGTTCCTGATGAAAATATCAGACTTAAGTGTCACTGACAGCGACGTTACACGGGCCGTTGCAGGTTCCCTCGTGTTGCCTCTGCCATCCCGAAAGAATACACGCGTCGCCTCCGGTTTTTACGGCAGCCTTTCCCTCCATAAAGCGCTCCGTCAATTTTCCTTCATTTTTTTTTCTTCTTCCTTCCTCCCTTATGCGTTCGCCCGCGCTCTTTCTCCTTCTGTATAATCCACTTCGTCTCTTGCGAGTGCCGATGTCACTATACTCTTGGTAACACGAGGTCTTAGGGATTTTCTATCTTCCGTTATTCTCAATTTTCTCTTCCTCGACGAGCCGCGATTGTGTTCGTAGACGAGAGGAGAGGAATTTTTCAGATATTTAATTTCTTGCGACAATATAATACTTTTATAACGCACAGTAATATTATCTCGCGTCACTTGACAGTTTATAATGACTTTTTAAATTAGCCACGACAAACTTTTTTCAATAAAAACCGAGCTTCTGGAAAGAAATCTGAATTGAAACAAATTTTACGAGCTGTGATTCATCGATTATAGTAATTAATAATTAATGAGAAGTAATTCTAATATTGTTGAGAGACGTGTTTTGATCATTTATTTTCGACCATTCTTTTCAGCCAATTTTAATAATTAAAACCTTTATCATTGTAATCGCCTGTCATCAGCCGAAGAAAACAAAGCACAACGTTGTGAGGTGAAATATGTTTTTCGGTTTTGTTGGCGGGACTGAGGATAATCAATGGTTTTTTTCAATTTGACAAAACTTTAATTTGACAACTTTAATTTGACAACTTTAATATGACACTGTAATGCACTCATTGTACGTCGTTGTTCGGTTTTCTTTGGCTAATGACAGGCGGTTACAATTTTATACTTTTGCTTATTAAATATTAAATATTAATTGGCTGAAGATGATCAAAAATAAATGACGAAACGCCCCAACAGTATTAAAATTTTTGATTAATTTTTGATTAATTATTAAATCATTACTAGCGGTGGATCACAAATAGTAAGCTCACAAAATTCATTTCAACTTAGATGTTTTCAAATTCGTTTGAGCGCAAATTGAATTTCTTTAAATTTTTGTTTCAATCTCACTTTTAATGCACATGAGATAAAAAAATATCCAAGTCTCGGCGGTCTTATTTTTTAACAAAAGTCATCTTCTCGTAATTTTTTTCTTAATTGAGCTTTGTGTATTCAGAATTCGAATATCTGTTATTGAATACAAAGAAGAATTGCGTGTATCTAGCGTGTGGAAGATACGTAAATCTTATATATTGTGCGCATTTTCTTTCATCTTGCCCGCTTTTGTTCGAATTTGCGAGTCTTGACATGTTTTCCGGCCCTTCCTTTTATTGTCTGAACGTCATATCCGAAGATGATGCGCTTACGGAAACTCATGATGAAACGCTGATGAAATTACCTCCTCGTTGCTGAAATCTCCAAACTGGTTTTTTTTTCTCTTGCGCGTCGTGCTTGTTGCGGAAGATTATTGTAGACATTATTCACACATTTACATACAACGGTCTTGCTTCCGAGGAATATAATACGCTCGAGTGTTTTATGTGAATGCTTGTATAAACGCAAAGATTTCGTTAAGATAACGACGGAACGAGAACTTGAGACAAAATGAAAACATTAACTTTCTTTCGCAAATCCTTTTCGTCTCTTCGCGAAAACTTCGAAAATGCAACAAGAATTATTTAATTGTTGATTATTATTTAGCCTATACTTAAGAGAGCCGTATATTTGTATATATTTCACGTTATTGTTATTTATGTTAAATCATAAGTCATTTTTTAATATCGCGAGAAATTCACCTAGTGCCTCGGTGACTACTTGGTTTGTTCTTTTTCACTGAACTAGTTGCACTAGTTCGGAGTTTATCTTTTTCACTCTAAATGTGTGAAGGGAAAAAAGATAAACTCTGAACTAGTGTGGTCAGTTCAGCGAGAAAAAACAAAAACTACAAATTGAAAAAGCGATTGCCGTGAAATATGACAGATTGGACTTTCGGTTAAGATGTCTTTTTTGTGAATGAGATTTTTTTAATTTTATTGGTGAGTCAAATGAATTAATTCATACATATGTGACGCAAAGCAGCATCTTGTACAAATTCTGGAATTGTTGTTCGATTCGAATTTCATAAATGTACTGATTTGACACGTTAAAAATATATTTCGCATTCAGCATAATAATTCTCTCAAAGTTCTAGATATATATATGCTTCTTGATTTAATAAACCAGAATAATTAACTAGAATGACAAATTTCGTTCCGTAATAATAAATTCACGTTAGTGAAATTAATCAACATAATGAAGAAGCAGAATCTCGAGATCGGATTTCGCTCGTAAACTTTGCGCGACGCGTAAATGACGTCCGTCGCTACTTTAAGCTTCGCGAATTGTATCGGATATGAACGAAGAACTTCGTACCTGCCTGCAGGATATCACGCAATAGTTTTTGAGGATGAGACTACGATGTGCTAACAGCCGACGCCTGGATGATCCGCGCGCCGCCTGTAATAACCGTGTTGCCGTAAAGTTTAACCGATAAACCTTGCCTGCAACACCTGTTATACGTACGACAGAGTTGCTCGCGCTCGAGGGAGAGATAAGTGGATTAACTTTACCGTAGTCGATACCGTAGTCGACGGAAGTGTCTAATAGCCGATAGTAAACATCATGTTTATTCGCGCATTAAAATGCAACTGCGTCATTCGCAACCGAAATTCGAGCCCCATCCTCTTCGATTTCTCGCGGAAAAAATTCGCTCTGTTCATTTCGTTCTCAAGATATACAGTTGAAACGTGAAATTTTTCGACGAAAACAAATATCTATAACAACACAATGCGCAGAAGTAAAAATACACAATCGCAAGTTCAACAAAAGCAAAAATACAATCGCAAATTCACGAAAAATATTCTAGAAAAAACGTAAAATGTAAAATTTGGAGAATAACGAAACAAGTTCTAGCAGTTTATTTGAAAATAGTTTGCGAATATGAACAATTGGAATAATTGTTGGAGCTAATTTCGCTGTTATTAATTTTATCCTCGGGACGCAAATAGAGTGTGTTTTGCCGCGAATTTACCACACGGTGCTCTCAATTATTCCACTTAATTATACAAAATGTTGCACCGACTGAGAATTAATTATGCGCGAGATGAAATTATCGATGGAGAGAGCACATCACAAGAGTCGTCTCGCGCGTATCGAAGATCTGAATCTCGCGCGCGTCTCGAGTGTCCTCTCGCTCATTTTCCACTCCGGACGACGGGTGCTCGAGATAAACGTCGCTGAGCGAAACAGTTTCGCGTCGATTGACATTTTAGCAAATACAATCCGGATGTTTGTTTCCGGATTCTGATTGGATTTCGGTCGGTTATTTACTATCTCGTCGGTGTTATTAGTTTGTCTGCTGTTTTGACGAAATCTCATCGCGCATCGGTGCCAAACCGAAGTTTTGTTTTGTCGAACGTATCGGATCGTTATCCTGTCAGAGATCTCCCAGAGGTCTCTGCGATTTGCCACGCTTTCTGATTAATCATTAATCCGTTTTGTAATTCGCGTCACATTTTTGAAATATTGATTCGCAATTGTCGCAATATTACGTTAAATTTATTTGTCGTAAAGATAAATTTTTACGTCACGTGTTTTTTCGCTCTTATATACCGCAACGCGCGCGGAAAAGAAGAATTATATATTGTAAAATATTCCACGTCCAAGTTATAATAGGTCCAGTCCCCCCCCAGCTTCTTTGCCGTGCTCTTCGCAATTTTTCAAATCATTTGCATGCCACGGTAGACGATAAAGGTTTCGGGGGGCGGAGTCACTGCCCGGACATGGGTCTCTTTGACTGTTGATTGCAGCGGATGCGGGAGAACGAGGCGACTCTGGGACGTCTTCAGCAGCAAGGAGCCGGCATACCGTCGGAGGAACGCGAACGGGAGCGAGAGAGGGAACGCTGGAGTCTTTTAAGGGCGGCGAGGGACGAGGCCGATCGAAGTCTGAGCCTCGCGGCCAGTTTGGCCGACAAAGAGGCCGCCCTCTCGCACGCACACGCGACCATAAAAGAGGTGAGCACGAGTCCTCCGCGTTGAGAGCGCACGAGGAGGTTGTAATTCTGGGGCCTGACGAGTTATAAGTCGATGACGCTCCCCATTCTCGATCAGTTCTCGAGAAGATTCCGTACAAAAACCTGGTGCTTAGAATCTTCATACTCGCTTCGTGTATCACGCGATCTACAGAATATTGTGTACTTTAAAAAACGCGAGATAAACGCAAATAGCACTTTTTCTCTTTCCGCTTGCAATTACATCGAACGTTGTAGTTAGCTTTTTCTTTTTTGTCTTCGTCGACTATATACCGATCTTCGATATAATTTGAGTGATGTAATTATCGCGCAAAGACTTCTCACTGTCACGTAAATTTCTTAATACATCAGAGCGGTATTCCCGGACTCCTTATTGCCCGAGGTCGTCATGTAACGTTCTCCGCATCTCTTTAAATACATCTTTTATTACATGGTTGCAGCTGCAACGTCAGCTGGCGGA